CACACCCACACCTACACGCACACGCACACGCGCACGCATGCACACGCACTCACACCCTTACCCTCACCATTATCCCCACCCGCTCTTTGTTTCGCCAGGGCTAGGGTGAAGGAGAAGACCCCCCTCAGCGCGCGCGCGTCAGCGCCCCCGACTGTTGCGGGCGAAGAATGACACATGCTCTCCCCGCAGGGCTGGGATCACGGTGGAGTAAGTTCTGAGTCTCTTTCTCCCCACCCTTCTCTCTCTCTCTCTCTCTGTCTTTCATTGGGCGTAGGGGGCGTATCAAACCCCCTGGCCTTGTGGCCCCCCATGTGTTATGGGGCGGCAGGGGAGCAAGTAGTTGTCTCTCTCTCTCTCTCTCTCTCAGACTAACCTCATCAGAGTCACAAGTTAAGTCCAAATACGAACATTGCGCCTGCATGCTGGACTCTCGACACAGGTGAGGCTGGCACCATAACGATCATGCACGTGAGGTTGTCCGTTGATCCGGACTTCAGGGCCTGTCCAGCGGTGCAGAATATCGCAACAGATCAGGTGATCAGGCCACCCCAAGCAGATGTCGCCTCCGTGCATACGGCCATGGCTGCCTGCGGATTATGCTGATCCATCAAAGACCCTGGCAGCCCTAGCTCTGTTGGAGGCCTCGGCGGGATCAACCGGTTGGCCATCCGCAATGTGCAGCCTCTCTGCTGCCAATTTCACAGCGGCCTCGTTCGAAAAGCCGCCTGCCGCTCATTCCGGGATTCGGGATCACCGAAAGCAACTTGGTAACTTCAGAGAACCGCCCGAAGCGAGCCTTCCGAGATGCCATCGCACACCAGCATCACAAAATCCGTGGGGCCACACTCGAACTCCTGGCACATGCGGCGATGAGATTCTCGTACCATGGCCATGGCAGTGCCGCATGCCATCAAATTCCAACATCAGCCTGAAGTTCGGGGGCGCAGCTTACCGGCTGATCCTCCGGGCTTAGACCTAGCAGCATGGCACGATTCCGAATGATGCTCAGG